AAGTAGCTGTCACCTACATACAGAAGGGTCATGGCTTTTAGTGTGCTGTTAAAATTACAAGCTAAGTTTCCACCCTTCTAAACAGGCAAGTCCCGCATATTTTAAATAGATATATTTAGCAATTTATTTTCAAGAGCCCGTATGAAAATACAAAGAGTGTCTGCTGCCACCTTGTGGTTTTGCATGGGATCTGCTTTGTAACTACAAGACTAACCTGAAAGTATGAAGTGATTTGCCAGACGCGAAGTGCCAGCCCATGTGCATTGCATGATAAATGCATTTAATCTTTGAAAAGGCATCAGCTTTGATGGTCTGGATCTAAGGGGCTTCATGGGGTAAAATAATATCATGTCATCAGGCAGCAGAAGGCCAGACTTCAAGTAGCTGCATTACACCCCTCCGGTCCACTCAAAATTCAGCTTTCAGTGTTATCAAATTGTTCCATTAATCCAATTATGCCGCTCCATTTTGGACTCTTCACTGCATCTAATGGATGTGTCTTGTTATCTTCAAAGCCTTGCATGATGCACTCCTCCTTACCTTATCTCTTATCACTTCACACTCTCTGCTCCCACATCAATACCAGTCTTGCTGTCTCACTTAGATGATTCTACCAATCTCTTTATATTTTCTTCCACGTCGTTCTCTACACCTCTTTCATGAGCCAGTATGCCAAACTGTTTCCTTCTCATCATTCAAATTCTTCTTCAAATCTATACCTGCTACAACATCTACAAGAAGTTAGTTAGTGGTGGTTAGCTGTGTTAGCTTCGAGTTAGGCAGGAGGCAGGGCAGGGCAACACCTTATAGGTAAGTCATTCAGAGAAGAATGAGGTTTCATGGGCCACCGCCTACTTTGTCAGATGCTTTGAATCTGCACAGAATCGCATTTGATTAAGTTGGCTGTAGCCTACAAAAGGTCAAGACTCTCTTAACAAGTTAGTCTATAAGGAGGCCTGTACACAAGCCAGGAGGCCGCTCTGACATGCTGTACTTACAGTGCATTAGAGCAGGCTCGACTAATCAAGTCTGCTGATGTGTGATAATTACTGTACTCCAGCAGCCTTCACGTATCAGCGTCTCCACACTTGAGAGGGTTCAGAGGAGGGCCACCCGCTTGGTTGGAGGGCAGCAGGACAGGCCCTATGAGGAGAGGCTGAGGGACCTGAACCTGTTCAGCCTCAGCAAGAGGAGGCTGAGGGGGGATTTGGTGGCTGCCTACAAGCTCATTAGGGGAGATCAGCAGCAAATAGGAAGGGCCCTATTCCCCCCAGCACCACCTGGGGTGATGAGGAGCAATGGCCAGAAGCTGCTGGAGAATAGGTTCAGGTTAGAGATTAGGAGGCACTATTTCACTGTTAGGGTGGCTAGGATCTGGAACCAACTCCCTAGGGAAGTTGTCCTCGCTCCTACCTTAGGTAAATTCAAAAAGAGGTTGAATGAACACCTGTCTGGGGTCATGTGATCCCAGCGTGTGCTCCGGCCAGTGGCGGGGGGTTAGACTAGATGATCCGTTCAGGTCCCTTCTGACCCCAAACTACTATGAAACTATGAAACTTCAAAATGACGGCAGAAGCACTTTAAATAAAGTTCATTCAACGAGCTTTAAAGAAAGTCCCCCCGATGCCATTTTGAAGGGCGGGGATGCTGATGCACAAGACGCCCCAGGTGCTTTAATTAGAGTGGCTCTCAGAGCCGCTCTAACTCAAGTGCCCCACCACCACCGCTCCCAGAGCACACGTAAAAGCTCCCTACGGTTCTGCTCTTCTGTGCCTACGAAATTAGCCCGTTATGCTGATTTGGAGAGGGAAAGAGGCTCAAAACTCTACCCAATTTTCCCAATTACACACTTGCATACATCCCCAAAGGGGAAACAACCTTGGTGAATAACATCAGTAAAGTAGTCCGAGACAAACTTTTCCAACAGCAGAAGAAGGTTTTTAAGGGAGGACATAGTCTAACTAGAGCTGGTTACTATTGGCAAAACAAAATTCGGATAAACATTGGGAGGAATCAAGAAATTGATAGAGGAGCCAAGGAAATTCCTTGCTGAGTATCATGTCATACAGTCACGGCTAAACCCTACTGATACCAGGGCTTGTTCACAACAGCTGATGCAATGGTAAACCCAACTCATCCTTGTCTAAATTGACTGTAGAGTCATGACTCATGCCGTACTTCAGGCAGTGGCAACTTATGGCCTCACAGCCTGGATCTGGCCCACCTAGCCATTTTATCCAGCCCCCAGAGCCAAGCCTGGGGATTTTTCCAGCTTTTCAGCAGCAAGGGGCTTTGCCCATGTGGCACCACTCCTGCGGGGGAGAGTGGTGACTGCAGCTGTGGCTGAAGCAATAGCAGTGGAGACCAGTTTGCAAGCATCCCGCTCTCAGAGTGGGACCCCATTACAGCACCCCCTCTGCCCAAAACATTGCTGACCTCTGCCCTGCTGAATCCCTGCAGCATGTTGAGGCCCTGCTGTAGCACAGCCCAGAATAAACCACCCTCAGCAGAGCTGCGCAAGTAATGTAGTTTGCAGTTCCACGGAACAACATAAAGATGAAATAAAATAAATAAAATACAATCATTTTGACCTGACCTGAAACAATTGTGTCACATTTTTCCTTCTGAAGTGAAAAAAAAAATCATCAAAAAAATCAGTTTGGGACAAACAGGATGCTTCTTTCCATCAGAAGCAAAACATTGAGCTTCTCTTTGGGGTGGTCTCTTTCTTTTTTTAAAAAGTTCATTTGACCTAATTTTGTTATTTTCAAACGCACAAAAAAATTTAAACGTTTGGTTTTTTTAAATGTCGAAACATGGTGTATTCCTGTGGAAAACATTGCCCTGGTCTGTGCATAAGAATGAACTCTTTGTACTTACTTATTCAAAGTAGGACAAGGATGAGGTCAGGGCTGACCTAAAGCAATATGGTGCCCTGCATGCATCGTTGTGTAGGCCCCACCAAAGCCCTGCCTGCATGGGAGGGACCACTGACTCTCCTCCGTCTCCAGTTTATTTTGGCTCCCTTCCAAGAAAGCAGCAATAAGAGTTTTGATCCCAGATTCCCTGACCCCAGACTACAGGATATAGAGGCCTCTCACACTCTCTTCCAGTTCCCGCTAACCACAATCCAGGGTCTGAGAAACTTCTGCTGAAAAAAAAAAAGTTTCCTCCAAACCAGCAAGTTTCCCTTCAAAAAGTTTTGGTTTCACTCATTTAACATTTTCTAACCAAAAATAAAAAAGGGGGTAGTCATCAGAAAATCCCCAACCTGATCTAATCCAGTTCCTCATTGTACTACTCCAAAGCCATTCATCCATTTCACATAGGTTGCAAAATCCCAGCAACTACTGCAAGTCCCAAGATTGGAAAGAAACTCAGTTTTCCTTCACTCATATCAAAACAGCTGACTAGGCGGTATCTCTCTGCTTTGAGCTGGCTGAAAGCACGCTGTTTGCACAGCTATCCTGGGAAGAAGACATCTTTCCTCACAAGACAAAGGCCTGTGGAGACATTAAATCACCTTGAATCCTAACTGGATTTGAGCTACTTAGCTGCTTTTAGGTTTCCAAGATGAGAATTTCTGATCTTGATTGACAGGCTGCTAAATATAGCGTGACATGATGATGCAACTGCATAGCCCAAAGGCCTGTTTTTGTTGTTCAGGGTCATGTCTATAATATCAGCTAAGAAGAATACAGCCCATAATATGTACTGTATTGTAAAGCGCATGACATATTGGTTCTCTAACAACAATAATTATCTGCAAGAGCAATAGCCGTCAAATTCCTGGGATTATGGCCTATTGCCTAAAGGCTGAGGCCAGCAGGCACAGTCTAAGAGCTGCGTCTTATAGAAATGGCACTTTTCTTGTCTTGCTATTGCTGCTGGTGACGGCACTTATTTATCGTGTTATCACCCCACTTCCCATTGCTAGGAAAATAAAATACCACCTCAGTCTTGCTCCTCAATGCCCAGGTAGGAGGAGGTTGACAGAGTGGAATTAAGCCCTAACCAGTGGCCTTGGTACATGATCACCCTACAGTCCCTCTGCAGCTGCTCTTTCCCTGACATTTATCAGCTCCCACAGACACTGGGGCTAGGGACAGACATTACACAAACAGGTTTAGGTGATCAGAAACTGGTTTAAACCTGTAACAGAACAGATGTTCAGTGCACATAAACTGGATTGAAAATGGCTCAAACCAATTTGAGATACACCTGGCTGAATGTAGTATCAGACGGAAATGATTTGGCTCAAACCAGTTTATGCAATGTCTGTCCCAGACCCCTTGCTGGTTTAAGTTAAACCAGACTCCCCCAGTATCCCAGCATGCTCTCTGGGCTGGGTGGGGCTCTCTGCTCCACAGCAGAGCTGGCCCCTCCCCTTTGTTCCCTGGCTGCAGCTCTGGCAGAGACTGCAGACATCTGCCTGGCTTGTCCCTGCTCCCCCCTACTCCTCTCCCCATCCCCTCTGCCTTACACAGACACCTCTCGGCATTAACTAGCAGGCCACATGCTGGCTATGGTCCATTATGTGGCAGACGGGACAAAGGCAGAATCAACAGGTAGCTGGTAATTTCCCTCTGTTGTTTTCTTAATAGACTGATAAACACTGAGGTAGGGGTGATAGACACTGTTATGAATTCCTAGCTGGGCTAGTCAGAAGGAGAGGGAACGCCTTCCGATTCAGAGCATCCTGCCGGGACCTGGCCATGCCCCCTCAGCTCAGTACTGAGGAAGGGAAGGGAGGGCTGCTCTAGTGCCCCCCAGCTTCTAGCCTGAGCCACTGCAGGCATGTGCCAGCATTTCTGGGATGTCTCTGCTGTTACAAACTGATTCAGCCTAGCCAGGTTAGACTAACCTGCAAAGATGGAGTCAATTCAGGCTCAGGCTTTTTGAATGTCTGTCCCTAGCCTGAGGGACAGTACTGGGCACTTCATGATGTGCTTGCAGAGATGCTACATGGTGATAATACACTTGATTTTGCTCTCTGACAGGAGGACTACAACCAACTGAGGCCTCTATCCTACCCCCACACAGATGTATTCTTGATCTGCTTCTCAGTGGTGAACCCTGCCTCTTACCACAACGTCCAAGAAGAGTGGGTGCCTGAACTGAAAGACTGCATGCCCGATGTGCCTTACGTGCTCATAGGAACACAGGTAGCTGCTTACTGTTCTGGGAAGTGTAACAACCAACAGAAGGGGTCTTGAACTCAACACAGTGAGCCCCGTACCCCTCAAAACCAGGAGAAATGTGCTAGGGCTCAGGCTTTCCTGCAGTGCTGAGTTCCCCTGAAAGCTTTGTTTTTCTGCACACGCCCTGGGAGTGGGAGGCATGAGTGTTGGGGGAAACCTTGTACTTTTGTCTTGATGTAAAACTCAGTCACACCTGAACGGTGGAGCCTGACTCGGGGGGCTGAAGTTTACATGAACCCAAACAAACCACGAGGCCTCACCAAATACTATGCAAGCAGAACTCCCCAAGTTTCACAGTCCTGTGCTCAGTGCTAGGGAGCTCCTTAATCACTGTGGTTCGGGGCAAAGCATTACGTTCGTGTATATTTCTCTGGAGAAGAAGAGATATGTCATCCCTCGGTATTCAACCCTTTCTGCGAGTGACCCTTATTTAGTTGAATAAAGCTCTTTTTAGAGTCTATTACTTCTTCCAGAGCAGCAAGGCAACCAAGAGTGCTTCCTTCACCCAGAAATTCAGTGCATAGGAACTGCCAGACCAAGGACCCAAGATCCATCTCCTCCAATGTCCCCTCCTTAACCGTGCCCAGCACCCATTGTGTTGAAAAAGGCATGAAGTCCAGACTAAGGAGCTGTTGGACAATCTCTCCTCCACAGGAGGCTTCACCTGATTCTCTAATAGTTGCAGATTGCCTAGAGCCCCAGAGCCTGAAGTTTAAATCTCTCTTCCAAAGAAAGCAGGTCTTTTTCTAAGCAGAAAGGACTCAGCTAGTAATCAGATCTATTGTTGTTATCTGGGATGCTTCTTCACTCCCAAGCTGTGGGAGCTGGCACCTGTTCTGCCGTGTCATTTTTATCCCATATATGGGATCCCACCTACTCTGCTGCTTTCACAGCACAGGTCAACAAAGACACAGAGAGCCCAGTCCCTCTAGGCACCGAGCACCCGCCTACAAAGGCTAGAAGCCTTTTGACTGATGGTGATCTTGCCTTTTGCTGGCTGGGGCACATAGCTTATAAAAAGGCACAGGGGAAAGCCAATGAGTCTTTGCAAATGAGGAAGATAATTTTTCATATTTCTAAAAGAATGCTGAAAATAACAGGGAACAGCAGCTCACTGATGTATGCTGAGGTCTTTTAGAGATGGATTTACAGGATGGCAGTTCCCTAGACAATCAGCACCCAGCTTGGTGCATCTTTTGCATCTTAAAAAATCTCTTTTCTTAAAAAATGACTTTATAAAAGCATTCTCCTCTGCTGGGTGCAGTACCGTTGACCTGCTGATTCGACAAGAGCAGGCGTATGATACAGTCATAAAGGGAGCTGTCACTCAAAGGCTTTGCATTTGTTTATTTAAAGACCCAAACTATTCATAGATTCATAGATGTTAGGGTTGGAAGGGACCTCAATAGATCATCGAGTCCAACCCCCTGCATAGGCAGGAAAGAGCGCTGGGTCTAGATGACCCCAGCTAGATGCCTATCTAACCTCCTCTTGAAGACCCCCAGGGTAGGGGAGAGCACCACCTCCCTTGGGAGCCCGTTCCAGACCTTGGCCACTCTAACTGTGAAGAAGTTCTTCCTAATGTCCAATCTAAATCTGCTCTCTGCTAGCTTGTGGCCGTTATTTCTTGTAACCCCCGGGGGCGCCTTGGTGAATAAAACCTCACCAATTTCCTTCTGTGCCCCCATGATGAACTTATAGGCAGCCACAAGGTCGCCTCTCAACCTTCTCTTGTGGAGGCTGAAGAGGTCCAGGTGCCCCAGTCTCTCCTCATAGGGCTTGGTCTGCAAGCCCTTAACCATACAAGTGGCCCTTCTCTGGACTCTCTCCAGGTTATCCGCATCCCTCTTGAAGTGCGGCACCCAAAACTGCACGCAGTACTCCAATTGTGGTCTGACCAGCACCCGATAGAGGGGAAGTATCACCTCCTTGGTTCTGTTCGTCATGCATCTGCTGATACATGATAAAGTGCCACTGGCTTTTCTGATGGCTTCGTCACATTGACGACTCATGTTCATCTTGGAGTCCACTAGGACTCCAAGATCCCTTTCCACTTCCGTGCCACCCAGCAGGTCATTCCCTAGGCTGTAGGTGTGCTGGACATTTTTCCTCCCTAGGTGCAGCACTTTGCATTTCTCCTTGTTGAATTGCATTCTGTTGTTTTCTGCCCACTTGTCCAACCTGTCCATGTCTGCTTGTAGTTGTTCCCTGCCCTCCGGCGTGTCCACTTCTCCCCACAGTTTTGTGTCATCCACAAACTTGGACAGAGTACACTTCACTCCCTCGTCCAAGTC